GCAGCTAACAGGCAATTTTTATTGCATTTTAGCTCTAAACCAAAAGTCAAAGCTTTTCTTTAAAATGACGTTGGATCAGTTTTTGAGTGATTTATGCATACTTTTACACTAATTTTACACTAACTTTACACTATTTTTTACAAATTTCGGTACTAATTGACTGTAATTTGGCAAATTCGACACTTTAGTTTTAGACGAACCAATGGAGAATCTCTTTGTGATGGTGAACATTAAATGGTAATATTAATATTTAGAAATACGGTAAAGACAAGGGAGTTAAAGTGACGATCTTTTTTCAAATATCATATTTCATTGTCCAGTACTGTATTTCCAATAGATAGCCATTGGTTTTTCCTTTTGAAATTCTCGTAATTAGTCCACATTTCATCAGAAGTCAAGATTCAAGAAAGGACTGACGTTGACACGAGTTTTTTGTTGTCTTGAGTCTTGAATTGTTTTGTTGTCTTGTCTTGAGTTATGCGGGACGCATTTTTCAAAGCAAATCTCTTTTCCCAAGTTAGTGCAAATGGTTGTCGATTGTCTTCTGATCAACATCAAACATTTGATTTGTCCTGTTCTTGTAAAAATCGTGTAAGCACACCCCTTTGTTAAAGATGTACAAAATTTAAAACGGGCATCATTTTTTTCTCTACTTAATTTCGAAATCATCTTTGGCTTACGATTGCCTTGTATTTTTAAACAAAAGCACTCAATTGACTCTTCAAAAATCTTTTCATTCATTTTCAATCTCTTTTCAGGTTGGTGGTGTTAGAAAAATGTTTCTTTAAATGCTGTTGGGGGGAAGAAAAACGAAAAATGAGAATAGATGAATAAGAAAAGAAGAAAGTGAGGTCGAGGATCGAAAAAAGAAGAGACTGAGGCTTGGAAGGGAAACGAGGGAGATCGGTGTGTTTTTGTCCGAAGACTGACCGGTCCTTGCCTCCTCTCCTCCTTTCCCCTAAATCGGTTTGACCCTCTCGACTCTTCCTTTCCCTCTTCCTTTTCCCTTTCATCCCTCAGGATCCACAGGAATATCCACCCAGCCTAAGCCCTCCTTTCACCTGTGAATCGCCTACTTTCACACCAACCCTAACCCCGAACTTTCACTCATTTTCCTCGATACTGCTTTCACTGGTCTCAAGTTTTGCTTTAATCAATATTTCTACCCTGTTTTGGTCTTAATTTAAACTATTTACCAAAATGAATGTATCTTCAATTATCAATCAACTTGCTAAACATTTTCTTTTCTTTTGCAAATGAGAATGATTGATATTACATTACTTATTTGAAATTTAATCTAATTAACCAGCTACTGATTGACTAGCTACTGCTTGACCAGCTACTGCTTGACCAGCTACTGTTTGACTAGCTACTGCTTGACTAGCTACTGCTTGACTAGCTACTGCTTGACCAGCTACTGCTTGACCAGCTACTGCTTGACTAGCTACTGCTTGACTAGCTACTGCTTGACCGATTTTGCACGATTACGTGAACATGAAAATTTACACATTTTTGTAATCGTCTGTAATCTTTTTGTAATCTTTTGTAGCCTTCTGGCACACGGCCCTGGATTTGTGGGTAACCAAACCTGGGTTAAGTGGGTAATTAAACCTGAGTTAACTAGGTAATTAAACCTAGGTTAACTGGGTAATTAAACCTGAGTTAAGTGGGTAATTAAACCGGTTGTAATATCCAAAAATAGAGCAGTTTTCTTTAATTCGTGTCCAAGTACGATGTCCAAGTATGGATTCGAATTCTTTAGCCCCGAAAACCCCTTGGTGCAATATTGGTGCAAATTTTCAACCCAATCGGCCTCAAAAAAAAGGTACGTACGACCGTCAAGTACGGTCGTATCGTCGTACGGTCGTCGTACGGTCGTATCGTCGAATGGGTTTAGATTTCTACGGGTAAAATACTTGATTGAATGAAAAATGAATGAAAATTCTTGATTTCTTGGTGTGGGTGCCGAGTGAGTCGGATTGTACGCCCGGTGCGTTACTCATTCATTCATTGTTCCCCAACAAAAAACGAAACTTCTTGCAACTTTTCGAGTTCAATTCTTCAGTGAAAATCTGTAAAAACTTATTCCTCTTTTGTTAGATTTTGGTTCTTTCTTCGTTTCTTTTTTTCGTTGCCTTTCTTCGTTTCTTTTCTTCGTTTCGATTTCATAAAGTTTCCATAGCAAACGTTAAGAAACGAATTACGATGAATTATCAACTCCAGATCTCAACTCCAGATGGCCCTTGACACAGGAGTGCCCGACTGAAAGCCTGTAATCGACATCGACACATCGAAATCGACACATTTCGAGGTTTGTCCTTTTTCCAATTGATTTTGCTTCTCATTTTCTCTTTCTTCAATTGATTTTGATTCTCATTTTCTCCTTTTCCTGTTGCTTTTTGATTTTCGAATCATTGGATTTGCAGAAAGAGGTTATAAGCAATTTTTTTTTCTCATATCAATTTCTTTTTACGACCGTCAAGTCGAATTTATGGCAGGCGTCCCATAAGGACTTTCATTCACAGAGAAGAAAAAAAAAGGGGATGACGTAGAGAAGAGACTTTGTTCTTTTTTTTCGTTCCGAGAGTACTCTATCTAGCACAAAACTGTTGAGGTTAATTTGGCACAATTTTGGCGTGAAAGTGTTAAAAGTAAAAGTTGAATGCGTTTCTTTTTACCAAACAATAAGAAAAATTGAATAAACAATAATAAGTGTGAAAAAGGAAATTGAAAAATTGCGAAATAAATGATTAACGAAGTGATGTCATTGTCAGCATTGTAAAAATCGAGGGAATTAAGGCACGAGCAGGTTTTACGACTTCTTTAGTTGCTGACAAGCAATTCTTAAATAAGATTGAGAACATAAACTAGCTTGAGAACATAAACTAGCGAAAAGATCGTATTCTAGCAATATTGATGGATAGTTTTTGATGAGAATAACTGCAATTGAGACGAAAAAGTCTGCAGAAATGGAAAACTGCTGAGATCTACTATATAAAAGAGCAGTGTCTGTCTGTCTGTCTGTTAGTCTGTTGGCCCTGGAGACAACAAGCGATACAGTTGTTTCTACAGCGATACAGCGATACAGACAACAAGCGATACAGTTGAAATTTCAACAAGCGATACAGCGGAAGAGCTCAGCGACGGCTTTTCTAGACATTCCATTCTTTCGAGCTTTGAGGATTTTCTCTTTGTCAGAAGTTGATAAGTAGGCGCCGGGCCTCTAAAAAATTACAGTTAGCAGCCAGAAATCAAAAGGAAAAGACAGAAAAGAAGAAATTTCTCGAAAAACGGTGATGTTAAAAGACTTTTGTCCATCGATTGGCTAAATTGGCCTTTGGCTAAATTTTTGTTTTTTAAAAGCTCATCACAATCCATCATTTTGCTAATGCTAAGACTAGAGATAATAAGCTCTTTAAACCTTTTAACCGTTTTGTAAATTGGTTGGATTTGGGCCAAGATATACAAAAAACAAACTTCTAAAAATCAATGTTAAAAGACTTTTGTCCATGACTGTATGCATGACTGACGGTAAATTCCTAATGCATCAAACTCTCAATGATGGTAGATTTAGTACCAAAATATTAGTATATAGTACCAAAAGTTATTTCTTGGGATTTTGGCACCGAATTCGAAAAGTACCAGCTACTTTTATGCCAGCGAAGAATAAAGAGAAAAACTTAAACCTTTGGCTTTCCAAAGATAGATGTTTCCAAGGATAGATGTGGAAACTATTCCTCTCGGCTGTACCTGGCAAATCCAGCTTTTGGATTTGTTTTTTTAACAATTTGCAAGGATGAATGAAAAATATACAGATCTATAATATCTACAATAAATAATACTTTAAATATTCAGCCTACAATTTGCCAGTCGAGATAGAGAATAGTCGAGCTAGAGAATAGTCGAGATAGAGTTCGAGATCACCCAAAAAAGGTTGTTGGGTCGATCCAAAAGTCGACTCAAAAGTCGATCCAAAAGTCGACTCAAAAGTCGATCCAAAAGTCGACTCAAAAGTCGATCCAAAAGTCGACTCAAAAGTCGATCCAAAAGTCGATTCAAAAGTCAATTCAAAAGTCGAGGCCTTTTTACAACAAGCTAACATTATGTAAGAACAAAAGCTGATCAAAAAAAGTAATTTTCGAGTGTTTTTCTAAAAAACAAAAAGTCTGATCGGCTCCAAACCGACCTCCAAACGGACCAAACCGATCAAACCAGAAACAAAAAGTCAGAGACGCTAGCACACTATCCACTAGGCACGCCGTTTGACCCACGCGAATTTAACCCACGTGTTGACCCGTAAGTGCCAGCTTGTTGTTTGGCGAAATTGGCCAAAACTTTGAAGACTTATATCTCATAGCTTATGATTTGATTTGAAAGCTTAGCCAAGCGGTGTTTGCACTTTGGAATCAGATCGCTCTTGAAATCTAACTTCAAAGAGTTCCCCTGGACGCTAACTTTAAAAAAGCGGTTTGTCTAACTCAAAGAGTTCCCCTTAGCTATCATCCCGGAAATATACTCTTTACGCAAAATGAAAGCGTAGATGGCTGCCTAAACCGATTCACCCGATCTACCCACAAGTTTCTTTTCTCTTAATCCTTGAACCCACACACTTCTGTCCATTCCCTTGACCGTTCATTGACTGAAGTACCTACATGTGGGCGTCGACTTTGTAAATTTTACCATTTCAGCGTTTTCCAATCAAATAATCTCTTCGTACGTTCATCGGAAATCATTTCCCTACAAGATTGTGACGAAATTCGACTCTTGAAAGTCAAAACCTGAAGCTTTTCGTTTATTTTCGTGAAAGTAACCTGAAAATTTTGACGACATACAAAGCTTATCCATCGGGGTTAACAGGTGTGGGTGGCTGGCGTTGGGAGGGATTTGCTGGGGGTGAAGTGAAAAGGGGAAAAGGGGAAATGGGGGGAAGTTGCCTTGATAAGGTCTCCTCATTCGGCACCCACTTCCCCACTTGCAACCACCCCAAGACCAACAAAAATATGTTCTTTCAAGAACCGGTCATTTTTGAGAGAGGTTCTTTTTCTTGTTTATTGCTTTAGAAGAGGGTCTTTTAGTTGACTATTCGATGAGCAATTACTTCCCGCGATTCGAAGACTCTTGCTGTGAATTCCCGTGGGCGATGAGCCCGTCAAATACTTCCGAGCGACTCGACGACGATTTTCGATCGGATATCAAGGTGATCGCTTTTTATTTCATTGGCTTACTTTGGTTATTTTACTTACTAAGCTAGGCTACTAAGCTCGAAATCATTTTAAAATCAGCCATGTTAACTCGGCCGCTTTTTCAGTCGGTTTGCCGTTGACAATCCACGTATTTTGCTCGTATCTTAGCCGGGTTTGTTTAAAAAACGTTGAATTTGCTTTCATTCGACTCGAAATCAAATTTTTTATCAAAAAAGAAGCGGATTTAACTTGTCTGTTTCAATTTATCACCTTTCTCACCTCTTTGAGTTAAATTCTCTGAATGAAACTCTTTTCTAGCTGAAGCTTCTAGCATTCTAGCTGAATCTTCTAGCATTCTAGCTGAAGCTTCTAGCTGAAGCTTCTAGCTGAAGCTTCTAGCTGAAGCTTCTAGCATTCTAGCTGAAGCTTCTAGCATTCTAGCTGAAGCTTCTAGCATTCTAGCTGAAGCTTCTAGCTGAAGCTTCTAGCTGAAGCTTCTAGCATTCTAGCTGAAGCTTCTAGCATTCTAGCTGAAGCTTCTAGCATTCTAGCTGAAGCTTCTAGCATTCTAGCTGAAGCTTCTAGCATTCTAGCTGAAGCTTCTAGCATTCTAGCTGAAGCTTCTAGCTGAAGCTTCTAGCATTCTAGCTGAAGCTTCTAGCATTCTAGCTGAAGCTTCTAGCATTCTAGCTGAATCTTCTAGCATTCTAGCTGAAGCTTCTAGCTGAAACTCTTTTCTAGCCAAACCTAAACGAGATGGTAGAGTTGAATTTTTATTCGAAAAGTCAAAAAACAACTTTCTTTATTCCTATTTATTCATTTCTAAAGTAATACAGGACAAACCGCTTTTTTAAAGTTAGCGTTTGGATTGTGGGACCTTTTATACACATCGCGCCTCTTTTGCCATTGGCAATCTAACTTTGAGCTCAAATATCTTGGTGGTGGGTGGTCCAATTTAAATATTTTTGATATCATTAGATGTGCCAAGTCTTTCTCTATCGATTGGTACAAAAACTATTTAAATTGAACAGCCCAACACCAAGATATTTGGGCTCAAAGTTAGATTGCCAATGGCAAGGGGGCGGGACATTCCTTTTATAACTCGTTTTGCCCCGTTTGCCATTGACAATCTAACTTTGAGCTCAAATTTCTTGGTGTTGGGTGGTCCAATTTAAATAGTTTTTGTACCAATCGACAGAGAAAGACTTCGTACATCTAATGATATCAAAATTATTCAAATTGAACAGCCCAACACCAAGAAATTTGAGCTCAAAGTTAGATTGCCAATGGCAAAGGGGCAAAACGGGTTGCGTATAAAAGGAATGTCCCGCCCCTTTTGCCATTGGCAACCTTTACCATTGGCAAAGTTAGATTGCCAATGGTAAAGGGGTGAGGCGCGTATCAAATGTCAAATGTCGCGTTTGACCAGCGCTGGACAACCCATTTTTAAATCCAGGTTTAGCGAAACGATCTTATTACATTAAACTTACATAGTAAGGTTGAAAATTTCAGAGCGAAGGTCTCAGCACTCCTCCAATGTGCACCACGCCCGATCTCGCCTACAGTAACCCGGTGCCAACAGCTTCATTGGCCGACGCGGCCGCTTCACTTCAAAGTGCTTTCTGTAAACGACCGATGCAAAGGGTTGGTTTATGCTACAAATGAATACTTTTTACATATTAGCTATTAGCTATTTATCATTTCAGTACAGCTGAGTTTAAAGAAACTAGTTCGCAACCATCTTTTAAAGCTAGCTAATTACTTGATCAAGTTAAACGGCTTCTGTACACTTTCTGTACAAGTTCTGTACACTGTACAAGTTCTGTACACTGTACAAGTCAAGTTCTTTACACTGTACAAGTCAAGTTCTGTACACTGTACAAGTCAAGTTCTGTACACTGTACAAGTCAAGTTCTGTACACTGTACAAGTCAAGTTCTGTACACTGTACAAGTCAAGTTCTGTACACTGTACACTGTACAAGTTCTGTACACTGTACAAGTCAAGTTCTGTACACTGTACAAGTCAAGTTCTGTACACTGTACAAGTCAAGTTCTGTACACTGTACAAGTCAAGTTCTGTACACTGTACAAGTCAAGTTCTGTACACTGTACAAGTCAAGTTCTGTACACTGTACAAGTCAAGTTCTGTACACTTATAGTACATACAATTCTCACAGTTCTCTATTAGCTCTCTATCTTCTATCTTAAGCTCTATCTTAAGCCTTAATCGCTAATTGATTGAATCGATTGAGCCTTCATTTTTATTACCTTGTTTGTGAGCTATTAAGTTCTCCAATTCTCTTAATCCATTCACTTTTCGTTTTTCGATTCTGTTCGAAACGAGCGTTATCAAGAAATTAGAACTCTTGGAAAATTGGAAAGGTTTTTTGAAAGAATTTGAAAGAAAGAGTTTTTTTTGAAAGATAAGAACTCGCCTTTCCACTTCAACCTTACAAGCCTCGTGGCGTCAATGTCTTGTGACTGTCCGAAAGAAAAATGGATAAGAAAACGGGGAAAAAGATGAGAAAAGAGAAAAGATGAGAAAAGAAAGCAATTCTGCATGTAGACTGAGATGACGTAACTTAAAACGTAACTTGAAATGATTAAAAGATCGAGAACAATGAATAAACATGAATAAACATGAATGAACATGAATGAACATGAATAAACAAATTTGTGAACATTCCAGAGCAGCCTGGAGGCCAATTTTCAACCGACTCAAGTGAAACAAGAAGTTTTTGAAGGTTCGTGGTACAGTTAGTTCTTGAATTCTCATATTATGGCTAAGGAAAAACATAAACTTAGCAATATTTGACTTACAGTTTGAGAAAATAGTATTCAAATAGAAAATAGACAGAAGCCAGGTCAGAAGGCAGATTCTGATCTGGCTTCTGGTTAGTTTAGCATTGATTTTGATCTTTCTTGGCCTTACCGTAGGCCTGGCCCGTTTCTTGGCCTGGCCCTTTTCTTGGCCTGGCCCGTTTCTTGGCTACTAAAATTTGCCGTAACTAACAAGAGAATGACCCAAAGGAAGCAAACTTTTCGGCAAACTTTCACCTCATCTATAAGATGGTGCTATAATAGTATCGGCGTTATGACCCAAAGAGAATGACCCAAAGGAAGCAAACTTTTCGGCAAACTTTCACCTCATCTATAAGATGGTGCTATAATAGTATCGGCGTTAGGGATAGTGAGTGCTAGGGGATAGTGCGTTAGTCTACCAAACTAGTGCCACCTTTCCTCTCGGGTTTGAATCCTCTCGCCACCCTACTTTTCCCTTTTTTGTAAAACTTCCGCAAAACATTTTTTGAAGTTCTTAAAGTGTTTACTTTCAGCTTTTTACAGTCTTTTTTCTTTTTAAACTATTTAAATTGAATAAGTTTGAACTTGAGGTTTAAACTTGAAGTTTAAACTTGAAGTTTGAACTTTAAACTGAATTTTTTGAACAGAATAATCTTCTTTGGAACGTTCCCTTGTACCTAACAAACTATATTTCTAATATCTGATCAAAAACTGCATACAGACCTTTTCTGAATCAATTAGTTTAGTTGAAGCTCATCGCTTAAACAACAACAATGCTTATCCATATGCGCACACAATGCAGAACATGGAACCAATCGGAGAAGCGGCTGAAGGAGTCGATTCTCAACAGATTGACATCTATCGGTATCTAACGATAAAACTATTAGAGACTTAAATGAACAATTTCAGTGATCTGATCTTGAGACACTTGATTCAAGATATCTCGACAACTTGTGCAAGGCTTGGCCTGCCTACAGGTGAGTCTAGTAAACAGTCTAGTAAACAATCTACTTCTAACAATTCTCCTAACCAAGTCCTAATTCCTTCAGAACAAAATTCCTTCAGATGCCAGCCATTGGACTGGTGAGCACAGCTGGAAATGGATTGGGGAAATGTGCGAGCAGTTCAACCTTCCACTTCCTCAGAAATCGACCGTCACCGGGCGAGCGCTTCTCCAAATGAATCAACGAGACTTTGAGAGTTTCGCTCCACATGCCGGAGACACTCTCTATGCTCAGCTTCAACTTTGGAAGACTGGTAAGAAGAATTTTCAAACTTTCAAACAAAATACAAACTTTTCTGATTTAGCTTTTGAAACCTACCAACAACACCAGAACAATTCGTGCGGTGGAAGCTTTGGAATGACAGCCGCTGAGAGCTCAGGGCCAAAAGATTGGCCTTCATCGTCGAAGAGCCAAGTCTCAAGGAACTTTCAGCTTTTCCCTGGAGTTGAGCAAATGAGCGGATTCTACAATGGTAACAGAAAGTCAAAATATTATTTTATTCACAACTTTAGAACCGTTTCAATCACCAACTATGCAAGATCAACTGAACAATGTCTTTTTTTGGCAATGGCCTTCACTCGCCAACAAACTCCGATTTGAGCAGTCCTGGATCGATTTGCGATGAAGAACTTGATGGTGTTTTGAACATTGGACCGGTGAGTGGCTTCACTTAAAGAGATATTCAAGAAATACAAAGTTTGCTATAGCCAACTGGCCAACTAGCTATCTTAATCACGAGGTCAAGGGTTCAGTCCCGCTGGCTAGATTATTGATTATCTTTTTTTTCATTTAGATGGTTTTTTTAGGGTTTAGGGATTGTGCTGCTTAGGGAATTTGTACCAAATTATTCGTGTGAATAAATATACATCTCAATTCAAATGATTTCAGATGTCGGCAATGGGCGGATCAATGGGCGAAGGTCAGCAAAGTGGATCGATCCCTTTCCGTCCATCGGGCACCGTTCATCTATGGCATTTCATTCGTGAGCTTCTCGATCAACCAAAGCTTTACTCGCATTGTGTTCGATGGGTGGACCGGGATGAAGGTTTGTTGGAATTTTAAAGTTCAAATGTTAAGATAAACAGTCGACAATCGATAAGAAACAGCCGTTTTAGACTTACTTGCGGAAATTTTAGCCAATAGCTCAAAGCGAATAGCTAAAGCGAATAGCTCAAAGCCAATAGCTCAAAGCGAATAGCTAAAGCTAATAGCTAAAAGACAATAGCTAAATCCAATAGCTAAAGCTAATAGCTAAAAGCCAATAGCTAAAAGCTAATAGCTAAAGCCAAGAGCTAAAAGCCAATAGCTAAAGCCAATAGCTAAAGCTAATAGCTAAAGCCAACTCTAGAGCCTCCAACTAGTGAATGTTTCAATGTTCCTTGTAACTGGTTCCACTCAAAAAAAACAGAACAAAAAGCCAAAGTTGGGATCAAAATTGCGAGGTCTCGCTCTGTAAACGAGCGCTGTACCGCTCGGCCAAGGCTGTACCGCTCGGCCAAGGCTGTACCGCTCGGCCAAGGCTGTACCGCTCGGCCAAGGCTGTACCGCTCGGCCAAGGCTGCACCGAGCTAGGACCGCAAGAAGGCCGTTAAGATCCAAAGCTAAGTCTGCTAGACTGCTAAGACCGCTAAGATCGCTAAGACCACATTTTCAGCGTCTTAACAAACTTTAAACGCTTATAACTCTTGACAGATTGTCATTTAGCAAAAACGGAATACGTACTCAAAATCAGCATCAAATTCTGCGTCTAATGATATAGATAGCATAGGATTTGGCATCATTCAGACATTGATTTTGACATGATTTTTTTTTAACATTCTTTTGTAAGTAACGTAGTTGACAGCATGATTATGATTGAGACTTGAATCCAGAGAAATATAATAATCAAGTTCTAATTCAAAAATATAATAAAGGTTCTAAACAGAATCAAAAACAAGTTCTAATCATTATCTTTTAGGTACTTTCAAAATCGAATCCTCTCATGCACTTGCCCGAATCTGGGGCCAACGCAAGAATCGCTCGCAAATGAACTACGACAAATTGTCGCGAAGTCTCCGCCAATACTACAAGAAAGGGATTATTCAGAAACCCGAGAAGAAACAGCGTCTCGTTTACAAATTCCTACCACCATACAATCTTTGATCGATCTTTTTTTTGATCTTTCGATTGTCTAGGTTGGGTTTTGTGTGTTTCTGTTGCCCTATGTGGGGCATTCTTCATTACTATTGCCCTATGCGGGGCGCTTCTCGGTCAACGTGACCGCAATCCCTCTTCTCCATCATGGGTTTCTTTTTTTTTTCTTCACTATATCAAGCATCAACGTTTCGTGTTTGATATAATTTGATGGTATGTTCGTTCTAGAACATCATTCAACCGTTATATACTGTTTTTCCTTGTCCTAAATATTTAAATTTGCCTAAAATACTGCTGTTTACTGTACTTGCCTTACTGTTTTAGTGTTTAGGTCATTTTCGAGTTGAGTTACTTGCCTTGTTTTTGTGCAATTCTGCCTTTTCTGATTCTTTTGTGAAACTTTTGTGATACTTTTGTGATTCTTTTGTGCAATTTCTTGAAAACATTCCACTTGTTTCTTTGTGATATTTTGTGAACTTTCTGTGTTTTGTTTTTGTGAAAATAAATCTTCTGTTGAATACTTTCAAATGTATTGGGTTGGTGAATTGAAAACTGCGGTGAGACAAGTGTGAGACTCAAAAATGGAGGACTGGAGATGGAGGCTGGAGAAGTCCCAGTTTGAGCACTTTCTTCAAAAAGAAACCCATTTTGGTGTCAGAAGAAAAGTTGTAGAGAATCAAAAATTAGGCTTATAGCCAAATTTCCAAAAAGATACACTTAGTAGTTTCGCTTAAAATGCAAGTTTTGTGAAGATTTGGCATTTCTTTCTTAAATTTGGCATTTCTTGAAAACCAGTTTTTGAATCGTTCTGAAAATTGGAATATAAGCTTGATTTTTGATTCTCTACAACTTTCCCATTGACACCAAAATGGGTTTCTTTTGAAGAAAGTGCTCAAACTGTCATATATGACAATAGCCCGCGGTTTTCAATTCACCAATCCAATAGTTTTGGCCTTCATTGTGGGTTCGACTACGAAAAGTTCCGGAATTCAGAATTTTCTTATTCAGAATTTTCTTGGTTTTAAGCAAGCCTGGCCAACAAAAGCACCTCCAGGCTAGTGAATCCGATCATTTGTTTATCAGTAGTCAAAAGCACGACCAAAAGTCAGAACAAGATCTGGTAGGTTTTGACAATTCTGGAATAGCCTGGCTTGGACCCAGCCTGGCTCTAGTCTAGTAGATCCTAAACATAGAAAAATTCCACCCCGAACTTAATTCCACCTTCGTTTTCTCAGCCACCTCTTGGCCGATTGCTCTGAAATTTTGTCTACAAGCAGAGAATGGTAATTTCTATTTGTAAACAAAATTTCAGAGCAATCGGCCAAGAAATGGCTAAGAAAATGAAGGTGAAATTAGATGGGGTTTGAATTTTCCCAAGTCTAGTAGGCCATCTGTTTCAAAATGATTCAAATAAACAGTAAAGCTCATAATTTTGTGCTCTTTTTCGATTTGCATAGAAACTTAAACTGATTCTTTCTTGTAAAAAGTTTCTGCTTAAATTACCCAGCTGGCTTACCCAAATTTTAGCCAAATCTTTTGCCATTGGTTTAAAATTTTTCGAAATTCTTTATTCTACGAGACAAGCAATACTTTTTGCATGATGAAAAGCCCCATAATTTGGAGGGGTTGGCGATTGAGAGATGCTCCCATCGATTGTTATCTCTTCTTCGTGTACCCGATAGCGATAATGTTTGAAATGTCGAAGTATTAGATGAATCTAAACGAATTCAATTCATCTTTTCAATTCATTTCTATCAAATATCAATGTCAAACCATTCCAAAACCAATCACAGCTCCGAAGAAATATCCGCCAATCACATCAGTGAATCGGTGTTTAAAATCTCGAACTCTTCTGAAAAAAAAAATGATTGATCTAGGGTATTAAAAAAACTTAATAACTTACGTTAAACTAATCCAAATTGTCAAAACGAAAAGCACATACTGAGCAAAAGCGCGAACGATTGGCCAGAGTTTCATTCGTTTGTGAAGATAGAGCTGAACTCATTTATTGGGTTGTCCAGTTATGAATGCGCGTTTTTTACTATTTCTCAAGATACCGAAATCAAGAAAAAGATACAGGGTGCGTCATAATTATTGCAACAAGACTTGCAACAAGACCGTTTTCCAAACAGCTTTCTTATTTTTTTTGCCCCTTTTTTGTTGTGTTGCGTTCTATCTTCTTGATTCTTGCCTAATTGCCTCCCGCTCACACGAAAAAGACGGTTCAGGACTGGTGTGTGGCCAACTTTCCCTCAGTGATCACCAAGGATGAACCGGATCTCACCGGATCTCAATGTGATGGACTTTTCCATTTGGGCAATCTTAGAGGCTAATGTCTGCTCTTTGACCTTGAAGAAGTCTTTGACCTTGAAGAAGTCTTTGACCAAAGGATGGAAGGCGACTCCTCAAGATGACATTCGGGCCGCATATCCGAACCGATTAAGGGCCAGTGGAGGCATATCCGAACCGATTAAGGGCTGTTATCAAGGCAAAAGGCGGTCATATCGAATGATCTCTTGTTTCCTTATTTGTTACTGTTAAATAAAGCTATTTCTGTTTGAAAATCTTCTTCCAGTGAAACTTCTTGGTGTGCAATGCCTTGAGTATCTTGTTGCAATAATTATGACGCACCCTGTATATATGAGTATTATTCGAAAGCTGAAGATCTCCTCTACCTTTTTGATATAAAAAGTTTTTGAATTTGTTCAGCTTTTGGGTAAATTGACGGCACAGAAGAAGAGGTGGCCAAAAAATGGAAAGGTGCCTTTGGATCAAGTTTTGGCTCCGTTCAAATTGAGTTAACCGTTTGATGTTTGGCGAATAGATATATCAATACAACTTTTTTTAAAATATAACAATTTCAGAGCATCTTCACTTTTCTTTTCTTTTCTGGGCGGTTATTTTACACCATAAAACTTGAGGAATAGCTAAGCTGGAATGGGCTGAAAACTACCTCTCCCTTTGTGCAATTAATTTGCCCAAAAGCTGAACAAATTCCAAAGCTTTTTATATCAAAATGTAGAGGAGATCATCAGCTTTCGAATGATATACAACACTCATATGCATCTGTTCGATATCTTGAGAAATTTACAAAATAGTAAAAACGCGCCTTCATAACCGGACAATCCAATATTTTCGATTACATTTCAACTTTGATAACTCACTATTGTAAAGATTGCAAGATTCGCTGAATGAGCGGCATGTCCAGAAGGGAAGGAATAGTGCTCATCTCTTGAGGTCTCTGCCATACACGTCACTGTGGCGATGTAGTTTTGAGAGCATGGCGGGCAAAGAAGACTAAAACAAATGAAAACTAACCGAATGGAATGTACATTTTATGGAAAATGATGAAACGGATGTTTATTGATGAATGAGAAGAAGAGAATGAAGAGATTACTCCAAGTGTTTTCATTATTTGAAAGCTTTTAATGAATACTACAAAATGGAATCAAAGGTCGATAAATTTTTCCAAGATTTGCACAAGTTTTTGATTTAATTATTCTATTTTGTTATTCTATTTTGTAGTATTCATTAAGAGCTTTCAAATAATGGGAAACACTTTAAGTAATCTCTTCATTGTCTTCTTTCCATTCATCAATAAGCATCCGTTTCATAATTTTGTCGTACCCTTCCATAATTTTGTCGTAGTTTTAGTATACAGGATGCGTGAAAATGATTGACCACTCCTATTGGTCATTTTCGACCACTCCTATATAGAGTGTGTTCCTCTAGAGTAATGCGTTTTTTAGAATGTTAGAATGATGGAAAAATTTAAGGATTGATTCGAGAAAAGTACCGTAATCAAACCGTTAGTTTATATTGAATTCGTCCGACTTTGGTATCATTCAATGGGGAATTATTGGGTTGATGCATAATTATCCGGACTTCTTTTTGCGTGCTTGTATCTTTTTTGTTTTGAAAGCTTTTTGTCTATTTCTTTTTTTAAATATTCGTTATTCTTTAGTGAACAAAATGCGTGTCGACAATCATATCCATCTTCGCCATATCATGCTCTACCACTTCGAAAAGGTCTGCCGCAGAGTCGTTTCGCGATCTCAAAGAACTGGAGAAGCCCCAACGGACTACCACGTCAATCGATCGCTCAAAAATTGGCAAACAAATAAGATCTACAACGATTTGGATGACTTGATAGACGATGTTAAAGCGTGGATTGCCTCCAAAGATCGTTTATTCTTCGCTCGTGGAATCGATCGTCTTCCAAGCAAATGGCAATCAGTTATTGATGTAGGCGGTGAATATGCTCCAGAATAATCAATTAAACATATTTTTCTAACTATTTATGTTATTTTTTGTTAAATAAAATCATTTATAAAAGAAGTCCGGATAATTATGCATCAACCCAATACAATGCTCAGTCAATGACACGAAAATCGGGTTGATCGAATGTAAACTAACGGTTTGGCTAAGGTACTTTTCTCAAATAGGTGCTTTTTAGAAAACATATTACTCGAGAGGAACACACTCTACTCCTATAAACCATTGTTTCCTTGGAATTTCCTTGAAATTTCCTCAAAAACTTATCCACAAACAGAAATTTCATTGTAAAACAATGAAAATAATCCACAAAAATAGGAAAAAAAAGAGAATCAACCTCGGTTTGACTTTCTTTTCCTTGGCTTTGACTCGTGAAAACTGCTTGGAAAAAAATAAACCGTGCGCCGCAGGGAATCTTCATCAAAATCATCTCAATCTTCAAATTAAAGCTGCTATGAAAATCACTTCAAATCTTTATCTGAGTGATATTTTACTTAGAAAAGGCTATTATTGGTTTAATTTTTTGAAAAGATTAAGTTTTTATGGCCAATCCATACGTCTTCTATCATGATGGGTCTTCAATTCTTGCCGCTCATACCGCTTGAACTATTCTTGCCGCCCATACCGCTTGTACTCATTCTTGCCGCTCATACTGGTTGCTCACGCCGCTTGGACTGTGCAATGCGCGAAGGGAATCTGTTCAATTTTGTAGCCTCTTCAGAAGTCTTATT